CGAGAAAAATCAACTATCAAAATAAATTTTTCTCAGCCCAAATACGACCCCCCCTCCTGGCGACCAAATACGACCCCCCTATTGGGGATTCCCCAACAACGATGTGCCCTGTTTGTAATGCCTCCAAAAACTGCTGTAGCATTATTTCGTGAGGATGATCTTACACCACTTGAGAAGCGGTTGAGCAATCGTTTGTGGATGCGCCATGCATGCAATCCTTGCTCTCGTTCACTATCCAAAACGAAGACATTCACATGCAGTGCTGAAGGTGAACTGTGTGGGAGCTACAAGGAAAGGATGGTTGGTCGAAGTGGCCATTTAAGACAAGATGCATACCCACTGATGCGTCTTCGGACGCTGATTTCAAATCTGCTTTCCATATCTGCTAAACGATTCTCTGAGCAGAGTTACGCAGGTTTTTGTGCGGAGCACAAATGAGTTTGTTATGCAAATCGGACGTGACTGTCTGCCGGTGTGACTCGGTAGCCCGGTGTATAGTGTGCCGGGCTCATGTGTGCGAGGTCGACGGTCCAGGTTCTTTAGAGAGACGCTGTTTTGCATTTTTTCAGCAGTGCTCTCTGGAAGTTTCTAACACAGTCTAGCATGACCAGGGAACCTTGTCATGCCATGAATAGGGCGTTTCTTGGAAAACTGAACCATTCTCGCCTGTGAACACTTCTAATGATTTATTTTGCTCATATAGTGGGTACAAACAAGTTTTGTGATTCAAGAACAAATGTGATAATCCAGAACAAAGTGTTGGAAGCAAAAAAGTTTCTCGCAATGGGAACACCGGATAAAAAAATTTCCTTGCACTCTGCTGTGTTACAGGGTTCTATGACATTTGGAGGGAATGCATATTGAATAGGCGTTTCAATTTCACCTGGGTGCTCCTCAAGGTATACAGAGCAAGATAACAGTTGTCCCAGACTGGAATATTCCACGAGTAACCAGTTCCGTGCCATGTTCAAATGCCACGCCTACTCTGGCTCAGGGATAAGGAGTGTACCTGCATGCCAGGAATAAGAAAGAAATCTTTTGTACCTGGGGGTTTATTCGTGTTATCGTGTCTCCATCAGAACTGGCTGAATCGAGCTTTTACATGAGGAAATAAATCATTAAAAGTGTTCATAAGCGAGTTCTTGAGAGTAATTCGATTTCCCGAGAAACGTCCTATCCTTTGCATGATAAGGTTCTTGTATACCCTCGTCATCCGGGCAGTTGATTAGGGCGGTCGTCAACGGGCCGCAGCGCGTGCCAGGAACTATTTGCTTTTTCCAGGCTAATTTAGTCATTTTTTCCAACTTTTCACTGTTTTGGCTACTTTTTCCCAGATTAGCAGCTCCTTATCTTCACAAGGTGGAAAAAATGACTAAATTAGCCTGGAAAAAGCAAATAGTTCCTGGCACGCGCTGCGGCCCGTTGACGACCGCCCTAATCAACTGCCCGGATGACGAGGTTAATACTGGCGCGCTGGAAAAATGCAAAACAGCGCGTTCATCGAGGATTCGAACCTTTGATTTTGCATTCAAGAATCATGCAAAGAATCCACTGGGCTAGCGAGGCACGCGCGGTAGCGAGGCACGACTCACGACTGATCTGCATACTAAATCCGGTTGTGCTCCGCACAAAAACCTAAGTAACCCTGCTCAGAGAATCGTTTAGCAGATATGGGAAGCAGACTCGATATCAACGTCCAAAGGCGCATTAAGGGGACATCTCGTTTCAAATGGCCACTTCGACCAATCATCTTTTCTGGTCAGCTCCGATCCTAGCAATGTTTTCCTGCTCAACAGGCTTCAGATCCCGCTGCGACTAGAGGGGCATATCTTGTAGGAAGAAGCGCGGAATCCTTAGCGGAATACAGGGACGTCTCTTCCTCCAACGGCGGCGGTTTAACCAGTTATTCGCTGTTGTAAGGTGAAGCGAAACCAGTGTGCCCCTTATTCGAGGCTTCTCTTCTGTGTAAGATTCCCCAGAAAAGGTGAAGACTTTACTGCAGAGCTGTGCTAAGGCTGCAAAATTGGCGAAACAGTTTGTGTATCGGGATGGTTCAGGAGAGACCGAATGTGAATACCAGCGCGTATGAATGGCACAAACCCTTAAAGCAAGAATCCTGCAAATCTAGGCTCAGGGCAGGCAGGAGCAATCGGTCTCTCCTGGACCATCCTGATACACAGACTGAGGTCATAATGCTCCGCAAAGAGTTATAATTCTGCCACTGATTTTTAGCAATCTGGATTCCTCAAGGTGGAGCAGTGACAAGGAGCCCCATGAGAATGGCCCAAGGGTCAAATTCCATCAACCTGCGAAAAGCATGCAAAAAGTCACTACTGGAAAAATAAAGCACAAGATGTCGCTGAGTGGTCACAGAATGTGTGCCCATGAAGGTGCGGAATTCGGGGTGAATTGGTCTCGAGCCTGAAATGGCGATCGTCAGTTTACACCTTCCCCTTTTTTCCCCTTTCCAGACTCCGAGGAAGGACACAAGCAGAAACGTGAGCCCGAATGAAACTGCGTCAATACCTTGGCTATAAGTGTCCAGGTTCGACTCTCGATGAATCTTGGCATACTTTGAATTCCTATAGGGTATTGCTTTAGCCGTAACCAAGATGGTATAAAAGTTTTATTGGCTAACGTTTCGGCGCCTTATCGCCTTCGTCAGAGCCTGGAAAAAGTCAAAAATCAAAGTGAAACTACCCTCGGAAATCATTTCAAACCTAGTCCCAGACCAGTAGGATCCAGAAAGTCATAGAACACAACCACAAACGACTCACCTTTAATGCACGACCGGTTCTTGTTTGAGACCACCGCTAAATAGACTCCCCGTCGGTGGCTTCAGCTGACCTGACCGCTCTACTTGATGCCGATGGCAACTGACACAGGTCAGCAAACCCACACAGGTCAGCAAACGGGCGAGCTCGTTTGTGATGGTCAGGCATTCGTCCTTTCTATTCATTCTGGGATTTTTAGCGCTAATCCAAAACGCTTCCAAAGTTTTGCGCGCCGAAGTCTGTGGTTCTCGCATCAAAATCCTAACCGTCACCTCAAACTCCGCGCAACTCTGTGCATTAAAGGTGAGTCGTTTGTGGTTGTGTTCTATGACTTTCTGGATCCTACTGGTCTGGGACTAGCTTATCTGAGGTTTGAAATGATTTCCGAGGGTAGTTTCACTTTGATTTTTGACTTTTTCCAGGCTCTGACGAAGGCGATAAGGCGCCGAAACGTTAGCCAATAAAACTTTTATACCATCTT